TCTCTTTCGCTCTTCTTTCTACCCCAAATGATATGGAAAGACAGTATGTGTTACCAAAGGTAATTTTTAACCACTGATTGGTGGTGATAGAAATAATTTTTGACAGCGGAGTTACGTACTGTTACAAGTAGAAATCCATCCATAGCACGTAACTTAATGTATATCAGTTTATAATTAAATTATCTAAATAACCTTAGGTTTTACTAGAAACAATATAAATTAATTGAAAACATTATAAAAGCTACATCGTACAAAAATGATTCTTAAACTGAGCTACGAAGGCCTATTATTATTGTGAAAAGAAAATCAGTTATCCGATTCACGTTGCAAACTTAGTTTGTAATTCAATTTTGAAAGTAAACAAAATAACCAGAAAAATAATGATGTACGTATCCGCATTTATCGACGCAAACACTCATTGCGGATGTTGGAGTCGTGACTTGACGTAAAAGACACGCTGGATTATTTTACAAGCCCTCCAGAAACAGGCTGTAAGCCGAAAAAGCAGCTCAGCTGTTGTTTTTAAAACATAACTTTGATAATATTCCAGAGTGATTAAGCTAGGCAGATTGATTGTTTTGAAGAAGATTTCTTTTGTTAATAAATGTCACAAAATCATTGAAATATTATTTTATTACCATACCAAAGAAAACAGAAAGCTTTTTTATGTAGTAGATTCAGCGTTTTTTTTTAAGTAGGTACAAAAAATCAGCATCCGCTGATGTTAAGACAAAAAATCAACATCCGCATCAGCATCCGCTGATGTGTATACAACAGGCATTAGCAACAACCTTGGTATGTGTGTAAAGGCAAAGAAAATGTGAGTTCCCAAAAGCTTGAATTTTCGATATTTGTAACATTCTAAAAATATTACACAAGCGAAGTTTTAACTTCGTACTTAAGTCAACGCACACGTTCCTCGATTCTACACAATTTAGAGCTTTCTTTGTCACGTTTAACAACATCCGAAAAGAACTACAAACTAACTTGCAACAAGAAAAGTAATACTGCTCACGTCAAATATGTATTAAAGTATACTATAAATCCTTACATTTAATAAAATTATTAATTGTCGATTTCACCACTCGTAATAAGTTCTTTTATTCGTATGAAATAGAGAAACATATATCGAAGATTTGAGAAATAGTCAAGCAAGGAGTAAAATAGATAATTTAAAATATTAAATATTAAGGAAGACAAGGAGTAGTTCATGGAAATACTTTTAGAGCATCGAATTGTATCTCAAAAAGCATTTTTACGAAACCAAACCCTAGTAACAATAGAGAAGATTCGAAAATAGATCTGTAGGAGAATTAACAGTGATAATTATTAAAATCTAAAGTCTCCAACCTTCGCTGTTTTGTTTCAAATAATTTTTAGGCCTTTTATAAAATTTATCATTTGACAAACAGAAACAAACCTTCATAGGTTCTCAATAACAAAAAGCGACTTTAAACAGGATCAGGCCATAATTTTATTAATCGAAAGCATAACACCTGATTACTTTGAATACTAGGAACTGAAATTCATGGACACTGACTTACATAAGTATGTCTGTCATTGCGATGGCATTGTTACATACTTGCTTTTCGATACATACGGGTACGGCGAAATACCCTAGGATAAAAGTAATTTAACCTGATCTAACGTAACCGGAGTCCCTGCCGTTCAATGGGCCTGGTGGATGGAGGCGAGGAAGGCGGGGTCCACCGACGCCACCTTCGCCGTGAGGAAGGCGTGCATGCAGAACAACAAGCTTTGGAGGATCTGGCATTCTAGTTCCTAAAAGACAACGACTCAATGTCAACAGCGGATTTTCAATACATTTTCATCCTACTTGCTTGCTGTTTTCAATCACACATTTCAATTAAATACATATTTATAAACAAACCTGACGCTCTGTATGCCAAATGGCATAAAGTTTAAACTCCAGCGCTTGAGCTGTGATTCGTACTTGCGCGAATACTTGAATTTTGTAATATTACATTATTGCAGAGGCCGGGAAGTAAGGGAGTGCTGGACGAGTACGAGTTACAAGGACAAGCGCCAGCGAGGCCTTATATTAATACGAGTCAAGCACTCCTCGTTCCCGCCGAGGCATGTATAGAATTTTTCTCAAACCATGCGAGGAAATATTAAAAATGTAAAGAGAGGAAGATGTATAAAAGAAAAAGTAAAAAAATATTAATTAACATTAAAATGTGTACAATACAATTTCTAAAAGAAAATATTATTGTTTTCTAGGCACATTAATAGTAGTCTGTCTATATATACTGTATTTTCGTTATTGCTCTTCTCACCAGCACAAATTTTCACACTCAAAGTACAAAAAAGACGACAAAACAAAAGAATACCAAAACACTTTAGTTTGAATGTCACCGCCATTTTCTTTTTTTTTAAGTAAGCGGTACGGGTAGTTATTTTTAATTCTCGCAGTTATGAACACTGGGCAGTTGGCTGTATGAGTTTCTCTTTTGCCTGTTTACATTATCATTAATCCTTTATTTTTTCCCATCCTGATTATTATTCGTAGGTAGATTTAAAGTAGGTAGGTTTATAGAAGAGGACTGCAATGGATTTTCATATATACTTCGCCGGGCTTGGCCGGAAAGAAGTCGCATGGTTCTTAAATTACAAAGTTTCCGTGTTCATTTTTTGAAAGTAATGCAAACATTTCCGAGCATGTTTGAGAAAACGATGTTAACAAGCGTATTTTTAGGGATTTGTCACCATTGTAATAAAGTAGTATTCCGTAGTATTTTTACGTAATATGCCAAGTTAACATCGATTGCTTCTACTCACTTTGGTTTCTATCACTTTTGTTTCGGAATCTTGAAAGTGCAGCTTTAGTTTTGACTTTCCATCGTCGCTTGAGCCTCTAAGTTGAGAAAATCTGAAAACACACAGCTTAATTATCGCCATGAAACTTTTCATAACGACCCATTTGCTTTATTTAAGTTAAAAGAGTATCTGTTCTTACGTCGCTGAGTAGGGCTACCACGACAGGGCGCGATTTGCACGAGAGCAACAAAGAAGCGCGACATATTGCCATTTTTTGTGCGAGAGTTTAATCTTGCGCTTTTTATGTTGCTCTATTTTAAGTTGCGTCCTGTCGCGCTAGTTCTACTGTTCTCGAGACACTCAAGGTCATCTATATTAATAAATTACAATCATCATTATCTCGGATGACAACACCTAAACTGACCAAGACTGCATGATATCAATTATACTCCGTGCAACCATTTATTTAACTTTTAACAGCTCGAACTCGAATCAATTAGTGATGTCCTAATGCGTTTCCGATTCGATTTTTTTATAACAATCGATTTTATTTATGAAGAAGTTTAAATCGTGAATGTGAGCAGGTTCAAAAAAGAAGATATTGTCTGATTGGGATCATGATGTTGCGTTTGACAATTTGTGTATTCAAGAATTAATAATTAATGTTAATGAGGATTCAAGTGATGATTCCCGTTCATATGGAGAAGAATCCGACGATTCATTATGATAAACAACAAGAGTTTATTATTATTATTATAATTTATTAAACAGGTATCAAAATTTATCAACTTGAATAATCTTCTTTAATTTTGGCTCGATAAATATTAGAGCTAAATAGCACGTCGCTTCACTAAAATTAAAAAATAAAAGAGTCCAGGAAGTTTTTATACATATTTTTGTCTATGGTTGCTTAATAACGGTTTTGAGCCGCGGGTCAAGTGCTGAATGATGTGTAATGGTTGATGTGCACTCATATGACATTTATTAAGATAGTTGACTTGAGCACGATCTTAATAGACACTAGATTTGAGATAGATTTATAAGTAAGGACTTCAGTATTTTCAATTTTAAGTTGACGGGGTTTCCCATACAACAAAATATAAGAATACAAAGAGGCTTATGTGTTTGCAGTTACCGATATGCCCAAACGGGCGGCGCGCCGGGCGTGCCCTCGCTCAGGCTGAAGCCCGCCGCCCAGTCCAGCGTGAGCCCTGCTGCTCGTCCGGAGTGTACCACCGTGAAGGTCTTCTTCTGCAATAGTTATAATAATTACATTCCATCACTCATAGCAACAAAACCACTACAAATTGTCCGAATAAACTTTCTGGCTACTCTCACTATTCAAAATGTTTGTCTACGTTCGGACATCTTTGTAATACCCTATATTAACAGAACCTACTTTTGTAAATATATTGTAAATAATGTTATAAATCAGATAAATAAATAACATTAAAAAAATACAGACTTCATTGTTAATTTAATAGAAAAATATAGTCTAAATAATAGGTTCGTATGCTTTGTAAATGTGACAACCTTGTTTTTTTTTTTTTGTGAATCTTTATTGGTGCCAATTAGAGTTTTAGTATTTATTTGGTACATTACCGTAAATAAATTAAGGCCGACTTACCGTGGTTAATTGGCCACTTTTAAAATGATGAAATGATGTAAATTCCATTTTAAATTTAGTAACATTTATTTTTAAATCTAACAGGTTCCATAACAATTAGCAGTACTTTGCAAATTTATAAATGTAAACATGATGAAAGAACCTAATTTTAAACGATCAAATTTCAAGTCGACGAATGGGAACGAAATCCCATGGTACGCTGGATCGAGTCCTGTCGGTTCCATGCGATTGATCCGTCTAGCTTTCTCGGCTTGTTAAATATTGGAAATGTGAACAAGTCACCTTATAAGAGCCTTGTAAGCGAATATTTTATTCATTCTTCATTGGGTAGTTTACGTATAAAATAAAATTAATTTGAAAAATGTAGTCGACATCGATGCAGTAAAAACCAAACATAGTTAATGTGCTACAAAATGTTTATTATAATAACCTATCAATTATCGGCGAATAAGTAACCAATGTACGTCTCGAATTATCTTCACGGAGGTATTTAGTTGAAATCCTTTACGGTCTAATTATGTCTAACTCCGATCGTCTGCCACGGCTTGATACGAGCATTGGGGTTCCAGTTAGGGATAATAACGTCACGATGAGTGGGTTTCTTGAGCACCTGCTGCAAGGTGACGTCTCGTATCTTCCTGTCGCTAAAAGTACCTCGGCTACTTTCACGGTCACCAGAAGTTGGACCGAACGGGTTGTACGGGCTAGGCTGGGGCGGCCAGCTTGAATCACGATTTGAGAAATGTACATTTCTGGCGTTGCGACGGTTGTACCCCGGGTGTGTAGGCCCAGTGTTACGGCTACTACTCGAAGTCCTGTGACTGCCTCCTCCTCGCTTGGCACTGGGTGAATCCACGCTGCGGGCATATCGCTGGTTTTGGTCCAGATGAATGTCGTCTATAACAGGTGGCAAGTATGGATGGTCTCCAGTCGCTGGAGCTCGTTGTACATCATTTCCGTTGTATAACCACAACGGTTCGCCATTTGTTTCTCGAACGGTCCTTATGACAGGCCTCTGAGTCCTCGGGGGTCGGTATGTAGGAAGAATATAACGCTGACAAGAAGCTTCTACGATAAGTACAGCTCCCAATAACAAGATTAGCTTTGCCATAGTTGCGTATTCTCACTTCAAAAATCGAATGACGATTTTGAGTCGATTGTTGTCATATTTATACCAGAGTTTAAGGAAAAGTGCCCAGGTACTTCACCGAGGTAAAGAACCTGCGAGTAAACAAGCTTTTGTTTTGCTTTGCATTATATTTTATGCAGATGACGAATGGAAAGTCGGTTAGCGATAAACTCTCGTTATCTCGCTGAAGTAATTCCCCGCTAACCCATTTTGTTATTTATTCTAAGAACGACTTTATGTTTATTATTATTTGCAGCAATGGAAGTAATAAAACTATAGAGTTTTATTAAGCCTAAAATTGGCAAGGAGGTTTTT